GCGCCAGCGCCAGGGAGCCGGCCGGCCTCATTCAATCGCATAGCTTGCCACAGAATAAATAGCGTCGCATCGCGTATCCGCTCCAACAACGTTTTGTGTACACGTATACGTGAGCCCGGTGCCGGTATCAAACTATCCTACTTGGAACAAATACCGCAAAGCACAATCATTTGTAAGGTTAGCGCCGAGATTTACAGTCATTTTAAATGTAACAGTATTTACTACACCATTGCCAATTTATAGAATTACTTACCTCCCAAATTAACAAAAATTATCTATTAGAAACGTTTGTTTCAAGTAATTTAACTAGCAAACCCTTTATGTCAACTTCATATCATTAATATACAAATATCACTTCAATATTAGGCAGTTTTTGTCACGTAGGTATTAACCAACCTATACTTATCTGTCTGTTGCATTTTGTCTCTTTCTCTTGTTGCAGTCGTTGTCAGTGGGTAGTAGATTTGTGAAGTAAAATATGGTCAGCAAAAATGCAAGCCGGCTTCTACAGTGCCTTACAGAACACAGTACTTTGGTTCGAAATTGTGAGTATAACATTAATTAAAAAATTATTATTTCTTTTATCATAATGTGTGGGTTAAAATTCCAAATATTATGGTCTACAGTACTAGTTAAAACTTATAAAACTACAACTTTCAAGAAAAAGTAAATTTATTAAAATAAACACCAATAATCTTTTTACTGTCTGCTTAATATAATATAATTAAATCTATCGTTCAAGGGAATTATAAAATATTAATTAAAAGTTACATTGTATGACATAATTATTTATTTGTGTAATACTAAGATTCTATTTTTGCTTTCTGTACTATATTCCAGCGGCTGGAAAGAGTATAGATGTTAATGAATGATGATTGCCAATTGTTTTCAATTAAACAACAGAACAAAAATAGTATTGCTAGTTATTCTTTTCGTCGGGTAACACATTCAACTTTGTTCAAATCAAAATGTATACAAGGGCTTTTAATACTTTTTAAACAAAATAGACTAATTAACATAGAGTAAATTAATAGAACATAACAATAGAATAAATCAACTTTAGGAAAGTTTCAAATTTATTTTGTGTTGAGATCACATTTAGGGAGTTAATAAGTTTAGGAAAAGTATGGTATTACTTTACTTGTGTACCACGCAAGTTAAACTTACTTAGTTATGACTTATTGGTAGGTTATTTCATGGCTTTTAAATAAATACATAGTCCGTGTTTATACTTTAATAGTCTGATCATAGATCCAATTTTTATTTTGTTATTGAACAAATAATTTTACAAGAGTCTCTTTTTAGAAGTGTCTAAGTATGTAATAAGCTGTAGTTTAAAACAATACTGAGTTGTTTTTATTTTGGTCTTAATTTTAACATTAGATATTAATTAATTATACCTTTAGATGGAACGGCAAAGCGTGTTGTGGCTTCAAAGCCAGTTGTTGAAATGGATGGAGATGAGATGACCAGAATTATATGGGAAAAAATTAAGGAGAAGCTCATCTTTCCATATGTTAAGGTAAATAATATTTATATTCATTTAATTCTTTGTATAAGAAATAATTTCTCTCTATAATCCAAATGATATATAGATCATTCATATTTGTGAACATACAGCCTTACAAATAGACATGGTATAAAGTTCAACTTAGGAATAAACTGAATATAAGCAAATATTAGTACTTTAGCTTATACAAGTTTATTCCTAAGTTTAACTATCTATCGCGTTAATTTGTAAGGCTGATAGTGTTTAGTTGTATGAAAGTAGAAGTATTGAATGAATTCAGTTTGGACCGTCCGAATATGAAGTCTGTGGTCTTCGCTGTCATGGTTATGGGTGTGAGTGGTGTTTTTTTTATTAATACTTATAATTGCAATGCTGAATAATAAATAATTTTAATTATATCACAATGATCCGAATGATACATTGTTTTTAAACTTTTATCATTATGACTTTAGTAATTTACCAGCCAGATGTAGTTTGTGTATCAATGATGACTACATTGTTCATAATATACAACATTTATTATCATTGCTGGTATAAGTCAAGATAATTTTATATTTATGGATGTATAAAAATAATTTTTTGTCTTATCTCTGTGGTTACACATAGTTCTGCCATTATTTTGGGTACATATTTCCATTGTACATATGTTGAGAATTACAGAAATCTTTTGTCCATACTATATTATTAAATATATTCAAGAGAATGTGAAAACACAGTTGTTTATATCTGCTCGGTAAGAGACATTAAAATTATAGATATGGCAATTTTAAAACGTTATTTAACAAATGTTATTTGATCAACTTATCTACTGGCTACCAAAATTTTGATAATACTCGATGCATTTTGAATAAAATGATTTTTATCGTCGGTAGATATACTTTGAAGTACATAAATTATTACCGTTAGGTCCATATCTTTGCGTACAGATAGTAAGTACGTGATAGTTCGCATTTCCTGCGTTTCGGGACAGTAGGTTAAAAAAAAGTTTTTTTTTTTAGTTTCCGGGATAAACATATTTCTAAAGTAAACTTAGATATTAAATACATGTTTTGTTAACATAAAAATCTCATGGGTAGGCACGTCACGTATCCTTAGGTTAACAACCTGTTTGTTTCGCCGTTAAGTTTATTTTTATTCGGCTTATTGTATGAGACTTGTAATTACAGCATTGTATTGCATTAAAATAACGTTTTACACAGATGACTTTATCAGAGAAATTTTTTATGTAAAAACATTGTACATAGTTTGTTGTACATTGACGAAATAACAGTGTTAACAATTAGCAATCAAACAATTATCTAATCAGGTATGTATGTTTTTCATCTTTAAAAATGCTTTTGTGTGGTAAAATTTCGGTATAGCTTACGATAAAATTTGATAACATTGATAAAAAGTGATGTCTTTTATTAGTGTTTGATGATAAAATGTTTCCAATTAGAAGAATTTCATGGCATATTTAGTGTATACTTAAAAACCAGTATTTGGGAAACTAGTTAGTTACTAGTCGCCATTTATTATGTCTGCATATTTGAATGTTACACGTATATTCATTTTATGCTCGTATGTCGCGATTACCTTTATTGTGAAAGGTCTCGTATAATTTCTGTTACCAACCCAGGAGAAAACTTGTTAATAGGTAAAAGTTGTTTTCCTTATTTAACTGAAAATAATTGGTTAACTACAGCAGCTACCATCTACCATGTATCATGTATTATTACAATTTTATTTTAAAGTTGATTTCATTTAACTCAGAAAGTAGACTATTCCCGGGATAAAAAGTAGCCTACGTGTTCTTCCTGACGATGCTCTTAACCTGTGCCATATTTCATGGAGATCCGTTTAGCCGTTTAGGCTACAAACTCTAACAAACATCCATCCATCTAAACATTCGCATTTATAATGTTAGTAAGGTCGCTAGTCTTTTAATAATTAATATAATGTTAACATTAAATTGTATTTAAATATTAGGTATGTAGAATTATCTTGGCGCAGTGGTCTTAAGTTTATCAAAGCTTTGTTTGGATCAACGTTAATATTGGAACGATGCAGTATCTTATCGATTTGTAAATATGTACGTACATACTACGCAAGTACGCTATATTATATATTTGCTTCTGTAGAAATGCACATGATAATTAAAATTGTAACATATTGTCTACAATTTTTTAAATCGTCGGTTTTGAGCCGGCCATGATTCAAGTTTTTTTTAACCCGAAGATAATAGTCACCCTCGATAAGCTTCATCGTGAGTTGACATTCTATTTTCCAGTATTATCCAGCTTATGAAAACATGGTGCTGAATGAAATTAGGGATGTACATAAATAAAAAAATCTTACCGATTAGCTGTATAAAAATAAATTATAATAAGGAAAATGTTATTTGTAGAGCTTGTATCACTTGAGAGAAATGGATATTCATCTCGATTCGAAGATTAATTAATGAACGTACATTATCAAAGGCCAAAGGTTACTCGTTAGGTGCACGTTGAAATTGAGTTCTTCTCTTTATCCGATGTACTATGATTGTTTATAGACGATAACACTTTAGTTTATAAAAGCTACCAGGATGTTGTATTTATGAGTTATCTTAATTATCATAGGCATATCCAAAAATAACATGTTAGCGATTCTTGTTTAACGAAAAAAGTGCTCTTTGCCTGTTAAGGCTATTTCGCATAGTTATTGTAATTTTAAAATGGAATCACAAAAGATTATTTGAATTGATTGTAAATTTAAATCTTCGCAGTACCACGTAATGAATTTACAACTTAATGCAAGCGAAGATTGAATTAAATTGGGAAAAAATATTGATACGATCAGAGAGTTCCTTCTATTTTTGAAATTCAATTTCATTAATTACGACAATTGCAATAAACAGTAAAACAATATTATAAATGTTCGATACATCTATAGTACATTAACGTCTCAAAATCTCTCTTGATGGTTGAGGTCAACAGCTCGGGGTTTTTTTCACTTTTACTGCACTTGGGATTAAAATAAACCTGTTCAAAACCTGATCGGAAGGTATTTCGTCCTCTTTCTGTACGTGAGCTCGTATTTATCAAAAGGGAGCACGGCGCGCCGGTGCCAACTGGTTTTAATCGCGCTCGGTTAACAGTAAACACTTGCTCGGGTTATCGGACCCTAGAATACTAAATTGAACACTATATTAATACTGACTTCATCAAAGTCCCAATTTCATAACTTAAGTACAAGATACGATCTATTTTTCTTGAAAAAGTACATGCGATGTACATTATGTCATAGGCTCAATCAGCTCAGGTATTTTCGAGAATATGACAGATAAGAATATAAATAAAATCTACAAAAACACCATCTATAATGGTTTAGTCTTTGACCAGTTATTTTTTCTTAAGACATTTGAACTCTACTACACATATATTTACACTTCCTTTGTAGTTGGATAGCTTATACTACGACTTGGGCTTGCCGCACAGAGACGCCACCAACGACCAGGTGACCATAGACGCGGCGCACGCCATCCTCAAGCACAATGTCGGCATCAAATGCGCCACCATTACACCCGACGAACAGAGAGTTGAAGGTGATTTAAAATTTTAAGAATACAAGATAGCTAAAGAGCCCTTTCTAGCTAGAGGACAGATTTATAAAGGAAAGCTGCCTTTTTGCAGTGTCTAAACACTTCTAGATTTAAAACCTTGCAGTTTACATATCTGGTATTCCTTCTGGTATGGTTCCTGACGATTTGTAATATTTTGCCAGAGTTCAAGTTAAAAAAGATGTGGCTGAGCCCTAACGGTACTATCCGTAACATCCTGGGCGGCACGGTGCAAGAGCATCCCACGCGTGGTGCCGGGCTGGACGCAGGCCATCATCATCGGCAGACACGCGCACGGCGACCAGTACAAGGCTCAGGACTTTGTCGTACCACAACCCGGCAAGGTTACCTATTTTAATTTTATATTCTACTCTTAAGATACAGACTGTATCACAGTTCATCAACGTCAAATAAGGTATTAGTTGAAGATTGATATAATATAAAATTGTTATCTAATGTTTTAAATTCTTATTTTTATTTAACTATCAAGTTATGGATATAAGTAGGTAAGACAACTAAAATTCTAGTTTTCATTTGATAATTTCAATATGTATTTTTTTCAATTTAATTTGTATTTAAAAACTAATAAATAAACAGGTAGAGCTAGTGTACACAAAAGCAGACGGCACGACGGAGAGACGTTTGTTATTCGACTTCAAATCGCCGGGAGTGGCTCAGGGCATGTACAACACAGATGAATCCATACAATCCTTCGCACACTCTAGTTTTCAAGTGAGTACTCGTATATAATTGACTGACTTGACTGATTGATTTTATTGGTCATTTCCAAAGTCAGAACCCACTTAGACGTTTTCTTACATAGAGATACGAAAATAAAATTTTACCCATGCCTCTTCAGCAATCGTAAACTATGTTCCGGTTATATTATATTCTGCAGCTATAACTATTTTTCTCCAACCTTTTATGTACTTTATAACCTGGGAATAACCTAAAACTACATAGGTACTAACCCTGTTAACCTTAGTTTTGTTATTAACGTTGACAGGTAGCGTTACAAAAGAAATGGCCGCTGTACCTTTCCACAAAGAACACTATCCTCAAGCAATACGATGGTCGCTTCAAGGATATCTTTCAAGAAATATATGAGAGGTAACACTGTTTGATATAATTATACATTTATTTGCTAGCTTTCGCCAGCGACTATGTTCTCGAAAAATAAAAAAACGCGAGTAGCCCTTGTTCTTGCAGACTATCCTCTACATCTATTCCAAATTTCATCGAAATCCATTCAGCAATTTAGGCTATAAACTCTGACAAACATCTATCCATCCATCCAAACTTTCGCATTTATAATATTAGTATGATAGTGGTACAAGCTTAAATGTGGTTGATACGTATATAGCACATACAAGAAGCAGTTCGAGGAGGCGAAGATCTGGTACGAGCACCGGCTGATAGACGACATGGTGGCGCAGGCCATCAAGAGCTCCGGCGGTTTCGTGTGGGCCTGCAAGAACTACGACGGTGACGTGCAGTCAGATGTGGTCGCACAGGTACTAACTTGTCTTTTGAACATTAAATGTTAACTATATTATATTTTCTGCATTGATGTCATCTTTGGCAAGGTGTTTTTTTTTCTCAAACCGATGATTTATTCACATCTAATAGCATCACCAACATTCCGGCACAACACTCCGGCATTGGCTTCTGACATCTCAGACAGCCTTTTTAATCATGTCACATTTCACGCAATCCATTTCTTTCTATTCCTACCTATACCGGTTTACCCCTCCACACTCATAACTAAAGCTATCCTTGTCACATGCTATTCTTGTCATAACACGACACGACATCTTAAACAGCAAAGTCCCAATTGTGCTCCAAACGGTGATCTCGTGATGAAATCGTATAAAAAAAATCAAAATTACAAATACTCTTAATAATCATATTGCGTTTTTGAAATCCATCTAAGCCTTATAATACTAAAAGTGTGTAGGATTCTATAGAATGTGGTATGTCTGTCAGGGTTACGGTTCCCTGGGCATGATGACGTCAGTGCTGATGTGTCCGGACGGGCGCACGGTGGAGTCGGAGGCGGCGCACGGCACGGTGACGCGCCACTACCGCCAGCACCAGCAGGGCAAGCCCACCTCCACCAACCCCGTCGCCTCCATCTACGCCTGGACGCGCGGCCTGCTGCACCGCGCCAAGCTCGACGACACGCCGGACCTGGCCCGCTTCGCACTCGCTCTGGAGGAGGTAACCTCCCCCCCTCCCCAACCACACACACTTTTTTATTTACACCAAGAGTTAGTGATCACATATTGACTCTTAATGATGCATTCTAAGCACATTAGCAGGTTCTGGAGAGACTGAACAGCATTAGTAAAATGGATACAATGGTAACATTTGAATTCTGTCTTGAGGGAATCTTAATAATTTTACCCAAGACAAGTTACTTTTAAGTTTACTGATTTTTGACATTTTTTTTTTAGTTAAGGTAGCTTTTAAACCAAAGTCATAATATTTATCTGCAGACTTAAATAAAATCACACCTGTATTATTTATCTTAAGTACATTGTATCTGTGTAAATAATGACGCTTTCAAGGATTTTTTTTCATTTATTCTGATAGCAAAACTTGTATATTGTTAATGTAGATAATTCAATGCAAGTGCACTGAGTTATCAAGTGTAACTGGGCCGCGCCACATGATTGATCGTCATTACCCTAAATATCAACAATATTATCATAATTAAGGTATTAATTTAAGTTATATAAGCATTGCAGATATGCAATTGGGCAAGAAATACACATCTAATAATATACTGATATTTCAACTGCAAAAGAAATATTTTAAAAAGATTCATTTTCTGGTTTAAAGTAGAAAATAATCTCCAGTACATTTTATAAGGGTTTTTTTCCAAAACAAGACGTAAACTATTAAACGTAACGTATTAAAAGTGCGAACATTCCGCTATTTTATTTAAACACTGAAATTTGGTTTAACGATATTTATAATGGTTTATAAAATGTAGGGTGTTTTACTATTATTGTATTTAATTTTAGGCTTGTGTCGAATGCATCGACAGCGGCAAAATGACGAAGGACTTGGTTATCTGCATCCACGGCCTCGCCAACACCAAGGAGGGCATGTACCTCCACACCGAGGACTTCCTGCAAGCCATCGCAGACCAACTTGAACATAAGCTATCCAAGTAGACAACTTTGTTAATTTTAAACACTAAAATTCAAGTTTTTGTTCATAATTTAGTCACAATTTTTTAATGAATTATAGCTATTTAAGAGTAATATTGAATATACTCGTAAGTAAACCAGTGAAATGAGGATCTATATTGAACATATACATGAAGATATATAAAACAATTTTATACTCTTCCCATTTAGCATTTTTGTAGTACTTAAGATTGTGCTAATATTTTTTTCTTTTAAAATACATTATGCATTTTTAAATTGTTTAAGTAAATCAATGTTAGTATAGGTTTTAACCTCAAATTCGGATTAACGAATCAATTTTGGCAAATTGATAGTTATTCGGAATTTACAAATTATTAAGTTATGTTTGTTGCTTCCTCGTGTAGTTTTATTATAAAAAAATTAAAACTACTTTTTGAAACATCTTGCCCGTGTCAGTGTCGCAACAACCATCCACTCTCCTCAACTCTATTCAAGTGGGTGGCGTAAGAAACCTGTCTAAGTTATTAAAATAATTTTAGATAATAGTGGAAGCAAATTTGTTTAAAGAATCCAGTATGAAAGTTTTATGATAAGCATGATACACTATGTGATTGCATATGCCTTAGGAATTTATACTTATATACAAATCAAATCGTATTTTAATAAAATATGTCTCAAATCCATGTTTTTTTATTTTCTTTACCTCCATCCTAAAATGTGAACGTGAAAATTGAAAAATATAATAAATTTTTGGTAACATGAGTAACCGAGGTGTTGTACTTTTGTTCTTGCTAGACTTGGTTTTCTGGTTAGTATTAAGAATTTGAATTATTCTATCAAAGAAGTTGTTTCATTTCTCAATGTAGTATGAGGCATTATTAATATTTCTTAAAATGAATTATGAGTGAGAGTGAAACTGTTCAGATTCAGTTCCAACCACCGTAATGTGTAGGGGCCACTCTTTTATGCAAATTCTTTAAGAATTGCTTGAGAAGGTTTGAGAGAAAGGAACTTTCGTTTAGAATTTCGTTTTTCGTTTTCGTTTTCGAATTTATTGAGAAAACAGAAAAATCGATTAATTTTCTTAAATTTCTGTAAAGCTTATAAATTTTAAAATCGATCATTCAACCTTCTATGTTCATTATTGCCATTTTTAATTGGGAGAAAAAGAAAATCGATTCGAAAATTATCGATATCTACTCTTTGCCGTCGACAAACTTCGACATGTGAACTGTCACTGTCAAATGTCAAAACGTTGATTTAATAGCAATGACGTTTGAGTTCATAACGATAACGAACTTTTTGCTTTATTTTTATTACAGTTAGATTAGTTTTCATTTTAAGATCTATATGTAAAAACATTTAAATTTTATGTATATTATAAAATGAAAAATATAATTGTTCTTATTCTATTGTATTTAGCCATAAATTTACATTCCTTTGATGCCTCGGAACATTGCCAATCAGAATCGGATTGCGTACAAAATAAAAACAGATATAATCAAGGTATGTTTACATTTTAATTCATTTAAAGTTAGTTTTACGTTAAAGTAGTTAATTCCAAAGGTTTTTACAAAATCTTCATGTTCTAGTAAATAGCTAAAATTCCATTCAAGTCATCATTATTGTATACACTGTGACAATATCATAAATTAAATTAAACTGTGTTACAGAGATAAATGAATGGACCAAAATTATAAATAAAAATGTAGAACAAGCAATTAACAAGTATACACCATGTGAAAGTTCCAATTGTAAATGTCATGAAGATGTTATGAATCAGGATCTTTCGGCATTTAAGGATGGAATAAGTAAGGAACAATTTGATATTGCTGTTACAAAGGGTACTAAATATCAGGTTTGTTTCAAAAGATATATGTTATAAGATCGAGTTTTTCATAGATCAAGTTTTATTAAACTGTATGTTTTTATCCTGCCTTCACAATCTCATGAAATCATTAACAATCTTGTATTACAATTTATTATTACAATGTTTTTTTTTGTAGATTATAGATGGACAAGTATACAGACAGAAGGATTGTCATTTTCCAGCACGGTGTGCTGGTGTGGAGCATTACCTTGTGGCTTTGGCACCCAAGTTACCTAACATGGAACTAGCCATAAATACAAGGGACTGGCCACAAGTTAACCAAGCCTGGGGACATCAGAGAGCACCTGTATTTTCTTTCAGTAAGGTTAAGTTTTTTCAGTTAAAATAATTTTTACAAGTGTTACATTAATATTATAGTGATGTATAAACCTCTGTTGTTTATTCTGTTTTATTTTTAGACTAAGGATTACTATGACATTATGTATCCAGCATGGAGTTTCTGGGAAGGTGGACCGGCAATATCATTGTATCCTACAGGTATAGGACGTTGGGATAAACACAGGCTTTCAATTTCAGAAGCAGCAGAGAAGTAAACAATATTTCATTTAAATACTCTGAATTTTGTAATTTGTCAAATATATTCCAACTTAGTTTGATTTTTTTATCAGATGGCCATGGAGTGAGAAAAAAAGTCAGGCTTTCTTCAGAGGATCTAGAACAAATGGGGAAAGAGATGCATTGATATTGTTATCCCGATCAAGACCTGAGCTTGTGGATGCTCAGTTTACCAAGAATCAGGCTTGGAAATCAGATGCGGTGTGTATTGCATATGTGTATTAGATAATAATAAAACATACATTTATTTGTATAAACATTTTTAAATAAATTTACTTTGTGTTGTTATTATAGACTTTATATTTTTCTTCATTTCAGGACACTTTGTACGCATCACCAGCTTCTGAGGTCTCATTTGAAGAACACTGCAAATACAAATATCTCTTCAACTATAGAGGAGTGGCAGCTAGTTTCCGATTTAAACATTTATTTCTTTGTAAATCCCTGGTATTTCATGTAGGGAATGATTGGCTTGAATTTTTTTACCCTTCTTTAAAACCCTGGGTCCATTATGTACCCATTAGTCCTAAGGCTAATCAAGACGAAATCATTAAATATATAGAATATTTTCAACAAAACGATTCTTTAGCTAAAGAAATTGCCGATCGAGGCTTTCAACAGATTTGGGACAATTTAACTGTGAAAGATGTTAAATGCTATTGGAGGAAGTTGTTAAAAGGTTATGCAAAACTTGTAAAATACGAAGTTAAGAAAGATACAAATCTGATTAAAGTGTAATTAACAGTAAGTTAAATATTGTTACAAACAGATATGAAAACAAATTGTTTTATTTGATTTACCTAAAATCCCTGATAAAATAAGTTTAAGTTGGCAGTGGGAATAAGGCTGATGATGATAAAAATACTTTATTTTCTGAAATAAGAATAAAACAATTTCAGAGTTGTGTTAGATAATATATTTGAGTTTTAAAAATAGATTCTAAATTGACAGCATTCTTTTATAGCTCTAATAGACATTAAACAGTGCAAGAAAAATCTAAGACTTTACGAAAAGTTGAAAGCGGATAAGAGTAAGTAATGAAGAATAATATTTGTTAATTAATATTGAGATCTAGAAATATAGCAATTTTAATTGCCAAGAATGCGTTAACATGACACAAATAATCTTAATATTAGAAATAACATTTATAATTTAAACATGTTTAGTTGAAGTCCCTGTCGGGGAAGACGGCGGGCGCGACGAGCGTCCACACGTACAGCCCGATGCAGAGCCACGAGGAGGTGATCTTGATCCACATGGACGCGACATTCTCCTTGGACAGCTGAGAGCTAGGACTAAATAAACACGAATATTAGCTCCAAATATTATTATTTCACAAGTTAATAGTTATAATTAAACTTAGGAACTGTAAGACTTTATATTTCGTAGGTCGCTTAGCTTGTAAAATTGTGGAGGTTTTAAAAAATGATATAACTTTGTACGAAGGTTCTAAGAAGTAAATTTGATGTGATAACTTACTTGAACCAGTTGGTGAGGGTCATCATGACGTAGAGTGTGGCGAGCGCGAACACGATGTGGAAGAAGGTCCAGGAGTAGGCGACGCCGTCACCCTCGTTGTCCACCACCTTGGCGTCCGCGTCCCCCGCGCCGCGCGCCGCCTCCCCGCCGTCACCCTCTACGGAACCATAGCCTGCGCTCAGCGAGCGTACACGTACAACCGCATTAGATACATTTTTGTACAATTTTAATGAACATCTGATGATGTGTAAAGCATTAATTATAGCAAATGAGTGTGACTAGATTTGAGTAAGTATAAATTTTGTACGTTTATAGGTAATTATGGAATTGTTATTATCTTTGTTAACACATTCAATGCCACTACGATTTATA